GTTCAATAGGTATGCAGAACTTGGGCAAGGGGAAGGCTGGCTAGAGCAGGAGGGGTGGAACCTGTGGCTCTCCAGATGTGGCCCCAGCCAGCATGGCCCATGGCAGGGACGATGGGAGCTGTAGTCCAGCAGAATCAAAATAGAGCTGCCAGGCTGCTGACGGGGACTGGGCGTTATGTTCACATGACTCCAGTCCTCCGTCAGCTTCACTGGCTTCCCATTGAAGTCCGGGTCCAATTCAAAGTGTTGGTGATGACCTATAAAGCCCTTAACGGCTTGGGTCCTGGTTACCTGAAGGAGCGCTTACGTCCATATATGCCCGCCTGCCCCTTGAGATCTGCGGGAGAGGCCCTTCTCCGGCAACCCTCCATGAAGGATATTAGGAGGGTAAGTACCCAGAGGAGGGCTTTCTCTGCAGTGGCACCCAATCTATGGAATGCGCTCCCCAGAGAGGTCCGCCTGGCGCCGTCGTTATTTGTTTTTCGGCGACAGGCGAAGACCTTTTTATTCAAACGTCATTTTAACTGTTAATAGTGTTTATTTATTTTATTCTTTGGCCAGGGCGACTTATTTTATATTGTTAATTTGTTTTATATTGTTAATTTATAGTATTTTAATTGATTTGTTTGTGAGCCGCCCCGAGGCTTCGGCGAATGGGGCGGCATAGAAATTTTCTAAATAAATAAATAAATAATCTGGAGGACCACCACTTCCTCACCCCTGGGATGGAGTGATGTGAGAGAGTCAAGTCATAATCCCTGCTCGGCTCGCTGAGTGACCCGGGGCCATTCACTGTCTCTCAGGCTTTCTGGCTTGTCACGAGGACACAGGGAGAAAGGAGGAAACGGCAGACACTTCCATGAGAGCTTTGAAGAAAGCTGGGATTAAAGTGTAATTGTATAAAGAATTAACCTTCCTTGCAGGAACTTACAGTGTGTCTTAAATTTTGGAAATGATGTTTCCTTGTCTCTGTCTCTGTCTCTCTGTGTGTGTCTTAGTCAGTAATTGTGAGAGAATCTCTTGAAGTCCAAGCTGTCAAGCAGGGAACTGGAAGTTCCAATAACCTGAGTCAACCCCAGATGTACATCACATAAACAATGCTAATAGTTGCCTTCAGTGAGTAGTATCCTTATTAAAATGTGCACAGAGACACATGGTTGTGAATGCAGACTGGGAACTCTGGAGAAACACCTGCTCCACACTCTGGGAGAACAACCTCGAGACATCTGGAACTCTGCTAACACGTGTGTAACCTGCATGCGTATTCTCTGCTAATAGAGAGGGATTGGTCATCCTGGACAGCCACCAGGTACTTCTGCAGAGACTTAACACTAGGAACTCTGGGTTCAAACCTTGGCAGTAGGTCCCCGCTGAGGAAGCCTCTGTCCCCCATTTTGTTATTCAGTTCTCATGAGGACCAATGCAATAGGAGGAGCAAAATCCTCCATGTATCTTAGGGCTGGCAGTAATATCAGTACTTGCAATAATTGCTTCTCAAGTGGCATCTAGTACCTTCTACTGAGAACCTATATGGACATAAAAAGGTAAAGGTAAAGGTTTCGCCTTGACGTTACGTTCAGTCATGTCTGACTCTAGGGGGCGGTGCTCATCTCTGCTTCCTAGCCGAGGGAGCCAGCGTTTGTCTGCAGACAGTCTCCGTGGCCATGTGGCTGGCATGACTAAACACCGAAGTGCACAGAACACTTACCTGCCCACCGAAGTGGTGCCTTTTTATCTACTTGCATTTGCATGCTTTCAAACTGCAAGGTTGGCAGAAGCTGGGACGGAGCAACGGGAGCTCACCCCGTTGTGCAGATTTGAACCGACGACCTTTCAATCTACCAGCCCAGCAGCGCAGCGGATTAAACCACTGTGCCACCTGCAGTCCCCTATATGGACATATCTAGCCATAGAATTAGTATAAAGGACCCTCTGGCCCCATTAGGAAGGATACAACTGGCAGGCTGCAGGGGCTTTTCAGTGGCCACTCCACAAGGGCGGGACCTTTTCCTGGAGAGCCCTGCCAGCTCCCTCTCTGGCTTCAGAAGTATTCTGTATATTTCTTTTTGTTCCAGGAAGCTTTTCATGATTGATTCTCATTGTACCATTTTGTGTGCCGGCTCCATGGTTTTTTATGCTGCTAGATTTTACTGTCCTTAAAGTGACATGATTTTCATAATTGATTTATCAGCTATATCCCAATAGTGAACACAGGTATTGGAGTGCTCACCCTTATGCGCTTAAAACCGCTCTGTGCATGCACAGGCAGACGCAGGGTGCCTCCAAGGTTTGCTAAAGCACAACAAATCTTTGGGAGAAAGCCTTCAAGGGAGGCTGAAAAGGCTCCCCAGACAGCCTAATAAGAACTGAGGGTCCTTAGGGGGCATGGACTGATGACTAACTAGTGCGTGTGCATGTGTGTGCACTTGCGTGCGTGCGTGTGTGCGTGTGAGAGAGAGAGACTGAGAATCCAGGGAAGGAGGGAATAGGGTAGAGCAGCTGAAATCCTGAATTTCTTGTTTTATTTGTGTTCTTTGGGTAGGCGGAAGGACATTTGAAAAGCAAACTGTAAAAAAATAAATATCAGTCAATTATTAAAGAAACACATCCTTTGGAATGGTGTTCTGCACAGATGCAGAACAGGAAACGATGACCCCTGCCCAAAACCATTACAGTGACTCATTGTTTACCAGTGCGACTCATCGCAGAATCCATTAAAAGCGTGGCTGCAGCAGTGCTCTTCATGTGGAGCGGCGAGGAGGGGAATGCCTTGGCTTTGGTGCAGCAGAGGCCAGTGCTCCTGAGCCCAGATACCTCAGAGCAGTTGTGCCAATTACATTCTGGAGTATTAGAGGCCAGGCTCCTCCAAAGCCTTCTGGATGCTCTTCAGGGAGCAGGGCCGGTTACACACAGGATGCTGAGATGTAGTGATCTTTCCTCGCACATGTTTTCCATCTCTGCAACGCCTTGTGGATCGAAGGAGTAGGGATGGGGATCGTGCTTTTCTCTTTGTCTGTGAGCCACTTGAATGCCTTGGTGGTGCAACTTCGAAATGTGCCTCCACCTCCACTCTGGAGTGGCAGCCTGCAGAAGGGTTAGCGGCAGTGCACTGACAGGCCACCTTTTCTCCTCTTGCAAGGAACTCAGGGCAGCACACGCACTCATTCATTGCTTGCCTCCATGCAAGCCTCACAACAATCCTGTGAGGTAGGTTAGGCTGAGAGTCAGTGAGTGGCCCAGCATCACCGAGTGAGCTTCACGGCTGGATGCAGACTGGAACCCCGATGGGCTGAGTCCCAGTCCAGCCCTCTGGCTCTCACTGTGGTTGGATTCGGTTGACTGAGTTGGTTCCAGTCAATAAATAGAAACATAGAAGCAGAGCGAGTCAGAAGGCCATCTAGTCTGACCCCCGGCTCCAGCCGGCTCCACTCACGACATGCCCACCATGTCGAAGGGTGAGCAGCCACAGCACTGCAATTACCTCTTGACTTGGGAGTGGCGCCTGGCTAATGGATTAAACAGGTAGGCACAAGAGTTACCTGATCCCAGTGTTCTCCGCAAGGCTGGGGTGTATTTTATTTCTCATTAAATTAAAGTGTTTTTTACCTGAAGGACCGCTTTTTCTGCATATTGACACAGACAACTTTCATGTGAAGCCATGTGCTCTTTTGGGTTGATGCATTTCCTCTTTTCGAGTGATACACAAGTGGCCATCTTGAGCACAAAGGCTGGCCTTGTAGAACACCTCAAGTGGTGTTTGTTTGTTTGTGAGAGCCAGACTCTCTACATCATCTCTGCCTGGAGGAAAATACCAAGGGAACGGGAAGAGAGAGGTTATAATCTCCTCTTAAAGGTACAGATTCTTATATTCTAAGAGAGCCTGTTAAATTTAGCCAAGGGAGGGTTCTACGATAAATGATAAAGATATTTCTCTCGAAAAAGAAAAAGAAAAAGAAAAAGGAAGGAAGGAAGGAAGGAAGGTCGGTCCAAGCAATAGGCAGAACCTCAAAAGTAACTCAAAATAGGTAGGAATGGCAAATCCACCTGCATGAATCTCGGAAAAGTTTGGCAACAGGAGAAAAAGGTCAATGGACCTGCTGTCGACTCCAGGCCCTATTACCACATGAGCAAAAGTCATATTGTAAGCAATCGCATGAAAGGGTGTGACTAAAGCTCATAATTTCTGGGTGTGGTTGATGCTGGAGATGGCAACGTGTTTGGAGAATGGGATGCATAAATATGAAAACTGCCCTCACAGAACCTCTCTGTCATGAACGGAGCATTTTAACAGTGGAACCATTTTCTGCCAGTGCTACGCAGGTGATGGTGGGAAGCCTTCCTGAATTCAAGAAAGCACAGCCTTCTCAGCATAGCCTGAGTTCAAGAAGCCTGGGAATGTAAGAAAAGCCCTGCTGGATCATACCATATGCATAGAACAATACCCACAAACCCCTCTCTCCCACCACACAGAAAACAAAGAATGTGCATTTTCCCCATAGACTGAACATGCAAATACAAATTTCCCAGGGGGGCTTGCACGTTTTTGGGAATGTGCGAATCTGCAGATTTGTTTACAAATGCTGAGATATCTTCCTCCCCACCGAGATCCCTAAACTTATCCAACACACACTGCAGTGGGATCATCTCCTGTTTACTAGATCTGCAGTGCATTTCTGCTCTGTGCTCAAGAAACACCCTGTCTCTTACAGCTGGTGATTTACAGTTGTTTTCCCAAGCCTTAGGAATTTGCAAATCTGCAAATTTGCTTTCAAATGGTAATCAGTTTCTGTCAGTGAACCAATACGAAAAGGAAATCCATCTGACAATTTGCAAAAGTAAACACATGATCTTCTCCAAGTTTTTAGCTGCTCAGCTATTTATCTCTGCTGCATTTTTTGCTGCTTTCGCAACAATATTTTATAATGTGTTATTACTTATTTTATCCTTGGTTTTATTGTTTTTGTTTTTTCTCATATACCAGAGAGCTTCAGCAATAGGCTGTGATGTAGGGTTTTTTTTTCTGTCTGAGGCTGCATAGGATTTTGCCCAGAAGGAAGGAAGGAAGACACCTGAAGTAAGTGATCCTGAAGCCAGCCCTGCCCGTGGTCCAAGGACTTCACCATTCCATGGGGCAACAGTGAAGAACCTGACACCAAGTGTCTCCTGACAAATGTAGGTGTGTACGTTGCAAAACAATTCAGGCCAGTGTATGTGAGGATGACAAACAACTTCCACCCCATACTAGGGGTTGAAAGTCAGGATTTCGAGAACAGAGTGAGAGAGAAAGAGGGAGGGGGCGTAGCAACGCTAAGGTGCAGCCTCCCTGTTGACTTCCCTGTGTCCTGAACTCACATGCGTCAGCCCAGCCACGTCGGAGGGTCAAGTCACTGGCGATTGGCGTGTAGCTGCCCTCTGGCTGGGCTCTGAGGCCAGGTTCTGGCACAGCACTGCTCATGCATAGGATAATCCTTCCAGCTGGTTGTACATCATGCTGTTTCAGTGCGCTTAGCCACAGAGGTGCTGTCCTTGATGGATGCCCAGGCTTTGTCTGCAAGATCAGGTCCTGCGCACGGTCACCTTCATAGCAGAAGGGATCATGAACCTGCCTGACGATGAAGACATCTGATGTTTCTGGAGTGGATGATAGAATCCTGGGTGTGTGGATGTGAAAGAGATGAATGAAGCGTTTGTTCAGGTATTCCAGCAAAGGATGTGGGCATGAAGGCTGCCAGTGGAGTTCTGTATTTGTGTCCCTGCATATTTAGAATTATCTCAGTGTCTTGTTGCATCAGCCCTACGTATCTTCTGAGCCACCAGTGAGGGAGTGCTGAACGAAGTATCTTCTGAGGGACTCCTCCTCTGCCAGTGGACAACCAGTGGTAGGCTCACCTGGCATCACGGCAGGAGGCTCAGAACTGCCACTGGCTATGTCCTGCCATGTCCCTACAAGGCCAGGGCCATTGTGGGTAGCTGGGAAGCTCCACCACTTGACAAAAGGAGACCGGGGCAGATGTCGGTGTTGATGCGTCCGGGCAGCTCCCTAGAAGTGCTGTGTGTCCCTTTTGAGCTTGCCCACCAAGCCTAAATGGTCCCAGGGCATGGCCTGAAGGAACATGAGGTGGCCATCTTGCTGAAGCTAAGCAGGATTGGGTCTGTTCAGTGCTTGGAGGGGAGACCCCCTGAGAACTGCATTTGGCCACAATGGAAAAAAGGTGGAATAAAAATGTAAAATATAAATTAATATTCTGGTCACCAGGTATATATGGAGGCCGGTCAAATGCAAGGACAGAGAACTATTGCCTTGATGTCTTGGGATACTTCCAAATGGAGGACTCCTGGCACTAAGAACCTGAAGGAATTTTGCAGCAGTTCTGTTATGTTTTCCTTAATGAGTTTTCCACATGAAGAAAGAAAAATATGCGAGAAGTGGTGAGAAAACATGGGAGGGTTGAAGATGGAAGGGGGTGACCTCCGGTCTCTCCATGAAATTCCTGAGCTGGTAGCTCCAATGCCAGTGGGGAAGTGTATCCATTTCAGCCTGAACTTTCGAGGAGCAGTCCATGGTGCTGAACCTGAACCCTGGCTGAGGCTCAACACCACGGATGGCTGCTTTGCCATTCAGAAGGCAACCCGGAGTAGATACACCTCCCCACTTACATCAGAGACATCAGCCACTACTTCTTGGTCTGATCCAGCAGGACTCGTCTTCTCCCCCTGCTTATACACAATTACGTCACACCCTCACCAGAAGATTCCAAGGAGGAGGAGAGTTAGGCCCCAACAAAGGACAAGTATTAGCATATAATGATAGTAAAATATAATAATCATTGTTAATAATTAATGCTATTTATAGTATGAGTGATATCAGCAACTAATTATTGGTTATCAATGAGAATCATATGCCAGGGCCTGTGCCACAACAGGGGACTGAGCTCTTGGAGGAGTCCACTGAAATTCCAGCTCCTTGGAATGTGGGGAGCTTTCCTAAGAGGAGGAAGCTGGGTGCTTCCCGAGTTCCAGGGAATGGCAATGCCAGAAGAGCCTCGTGTGACAGAGAAAGGGCCAGGCTGCAGTGTCTACCTGAAGACAGAGGGGCTTCTAATGAGTTCAAGGTCCTCCACACAGGGAGGACCTGAAGTGAACTAAGGCAGCTGGGCTTGGGTGGAAATCTAGCAGCTCCAGGAGAAAAGCCCGGTAGAACTTTGCAGGAGCTGCTGGAAACAGTGCCTGGTTTTGGCTGTGCCATTGGCTTGTGGATTCTGGAGCGGACTGTTCTTGTTGCACAGATGAAGCATATCGCTTCCATACTTTGAGCATGTGAGCAATACCTGGCAGAAGTTCTGAAGGTCTGCAGCAACTAAAATAAGGAATGGGATGTACAAGAGGGAAGATAGGTTAATAGAGACAAACTGTCCAAACTAAGATTGAGATAAGCGGGGAGGAGAATCTGATCAGAACCAGTTTTCTCTGTTCTGGAGAAGACAGCCTGTCATTTCCCCTGTGTCAGCATATCTGTGCACGTGCAAGCAGAACTTGTCTATAAACTTTGCTGACTGTAGTTCAGGTTGGGAGTTATCTGGCTTTGCGGAATCATCTCTCCTAGGCACATAGTCCACCTGAATAATCCTTATTTATTTCTATATGGCATCCTTCTAGATGTATGTCTTTGCCTCTTTTAACTGTTTCCAGGTTCGGTCTTCAGCAGCAAACTTCCTTTCAGCAGTCCTGCCCAGCTTGTTCTTTGGTGCTCTGACTCTCACGCAGAGTAGGGGTGGTGTATCTACTCCAAGTTTCCAACTGAACAGCAAAGGAGCTATCCATGGCATTGAGTCTTAGCTGGTGTTTGATTTCGGAACCACAGAGAGGTCCTTAAAAGTTCAGGCTGAAACCCAGAATGGATGCACTGCTCTACTGACCCTGGCGCTAACATCTGACTGGCCAGCGGACTGAGTAGGACGCAGAGGTCGCAACCTTCAGCACTAGGGCGAGGATTTCTACTTAATTTAAAAATGCTAATCAGCATTATCACTGATTCTGAAACTAAGCAGACAAATGAGCTCATACTTATTTTAGGCACACTGCTGTCCTCTTTTGACTTTTTTGATGATGATGATGATGATGATGATGATGATGATGATGATGCATATCCTCCTGCTTGGGCATTTGTAAGTATCTTCCCTGGTTCTGCTTCTCCTGCAAAGTAGGCAGGAAGAGACTGACATGCTGCAGCTTGCTGCCCAGGTATCTAGCAAGTAGCAGAGATAATCTGCCAGCCAGGGGCAGTTCTGCAGGACAAGTTCCAACAGGTGATGAAATACCTGGAGATGCAAAATAATCCCCTGGTAATGAGCATTTGTGACATCTGCTATAACATCCCTCACCTGCAGCTCCTCACGTGGAAGGAGAGGTCCTGATCTGTCAGGCCTTGACCCTCTTCGTGAAGAAACCTCTCTCTACCCTTCCGCCGCCTCATTAAAAAAACAACAAACTCTGAAGAGGAAACGGGTGCAATGGAATCCTCATATCTTCCAGGATTACTGTGCACCTGCCCTAGATGGGTACTGCACTGGGGCTGGACACCCTTCTGCACTGACCTTCTGGTGGGTGTGCGATTGCAGAGCTGACACTGCCTCAACCTGATGATTACGAAGTAGCAGTACTGTCAGCCTCTTGCTCAGCAGATTGCCACTTCCTGGCAATGTTCTCTTGCAGCAACTTTGCAAAGGAGAACCCTGTTGTTGCCCGATTCCCTCTTCCAGGTTAGGAATCTGCAGTCTGAGAATCGTGCTACTCTCTCTGCGTTTGATCATAAGCCATTGCCAGCCTTGTTTGGATGTTTATCCAGGCACACAGACATATATGTAAGATACGCTGATTTCTTAATTCCCATTGCCCTCCTTGCCTGTTTGTTTCCCTGTTATACATGCAAGTATTTTTTTAAAGCAACAGGGAGAGCCCATCCTGGCTCATGGTTTCTGAGCCTCAGTCATTTGGATCCTGTCTTCTGAATTAGCTGCCAAGGCTGGCATGAGATTCAGATTATTGTGTGTCAATGCTACAAAATGCATGCTGAGCCCCACCTTCAGCCAGTATATGTGGGTGTGGAGCAGCTGGCACATGCCCTCACAACAACTCGGCAATGGGCAGGTCTGCGTCAGGTGTAGTTCTAACTCTGCTCCTGTACCTTTAACAGCAAACGTATACTTGAGCCAGGGAGGCTTTCCCTATCAAATGAAGTGGCAGAAAGGAGTCACCTGGTCAACTGGTTGTAATAGCACATGCAAAGAGAGCTTGACTTGCAAGATCACATGTACCATTTCCAAATCAATGTCCCAGGGATCTCTGCCATTCCTTGGCAGCTGATCAGAGCTTCCCTGGTGATGACAGAGAAGCTTCTCCTACGTTGCCATTCCTTCGATGCTTGCTGCTTCCCAGGGGTATTTTGTTTCTGTGTTCCCTTTCTGAAAAAGAGCATGCCATAGTTGGAGTGCAAGACCAGACGGGTGGCATCCTTCTACTTCATTCTGCACAGTTTTGGGGGAGTGGTTGCAACACCAGTGGTGTGGGTTGGACTGGGAATGCTGGCTTGCCACATCGCCTTGCTCCAAACGCCTGAATCTGGGCAGCAGATCAGATCAAAAAGGAGCCAAGCTCACTGCCTATCACTGTGTGCAGCTCAAACTAACTTCCTGTTCATTAGTGCAGGTTTCCATAAGAAGTGGAAAACAGGCATGCAAACTGGTATATTGTGATTTATATCCTGCCTTTTTCCTACAAAGGGCTCAAGGCAGCTTACATCATCTCTCCTCCTCCATCTCATCCCCACAACAACAACCCTGTGAGGTAGGTTGGGCTGAGAGTCTGTAACTGGCCCAAAGTCACCCAGTTGGCTCCATGACTGAGCGGGGACTAGAACCCAGATCCTCTGAGTCCCAGTCCCATGCTCTTAACCACTACACCACACTGGTACGATCCTTCCCACATAATGGGAAGTCCAGGGGCGGGGTGACCTCACATAAAACCCCTGTAAATGACTGTGAATGAGGATTCACAGGTGCAAAATCAGGGTAGCATATAGAAAAACTTGACGAAAGCACAACTCTGTTCTTTTTTTAGAAAGAAAAAAGTCCTACAAATCCCAGCATTCCCTAACCAGCATTTCCCCAGCCCTAATTGTCCACATAGCTGCTAGGTTTTGCTGCTGGGCAAAAATGAGAGGTGCTTCCAGGAGACATGCTGCAGCGTCATGAAGACCAAGAGGCAAAGTACACCAGGTTATGCCTCCACAGATCTTTATTTCATGAACTTATCTTAGGGTGGAAGGGCAGGCAAGACTGCACTTATTCCATGGAGACGTCAAGCCCAAGCCATTGTCTCCTGCAGCCAATCGATGTAGTTGCAGACTCTGACAAAAACACTGGGATTTTCCACGTGGGAGCATTCCTCAAAACCCCAAGAAGTGATGCCCTGCAGTTCACCATCACAGACAAGAGGTGATCCTGGATCGCCCTGCAGGGACATTACAATGACACCATGAATGAACAACAGAACCCATATTTTTCTAGTATGAAGAGACATATTTGGAGAGAAAGCCTGTATTTTTCTTTTTGGCCCACGTTACCTTCTCAACGTTCTGTTTGTCCTGCATGGCAATGATGCTTTAACATTCTGCATAACAGGCAGAATCAAAAAGTGAAGATGTTCCTATCAGTCCCTCTTCAACCTGCCAATTTACAATGGCTACACTGTCATTAAGAGGGGCATAGTAGCCCAGCTAATGTTTCTGCGAAGCCTGGATAGTCCTTCATTTGGTCTCCTATAATCATGATTCACAGGGAGTAGAGCTGTAGCGAGTTTCTAAGCAAATCTCTGTATGGCAGGCAGAAAGTCAACATGACAAGGATTCCCCAAGGACAGGGATGCAGCGCTGGGGAAATCATCAACTGTTGAACTTTTTGACAGCTGTTAAAACCTCTGGAAAGCCAGGCCATTAAAAATATTGTACAACTCTTTGTGTTCCCCTGATGAGTCCTGGAGTCTCCAGCTATTCCTCCTATTCCTGAGGCTCTAGATGCTTTGGAAAACTGTAGCCCTTCCCCTTTTACTGGTGCACCGAAGTCCCTGTGAAAAAACCACAGGGAGTCCTGTCTAAGAAGCAAAACACTGTTAAAAGGAGCCAGTGTTTTGACAGTTAGTTTGGGTTCTGGCTAGGTTTGGATGACACAACAAGCCACACTGCTGAATGCACGGTGGAGGAAATAAGCTATTATGGGTTATTCTCCCAGCTGAAACAGTGACCCAGGTTAAAGAAGCTGGAAATGGCTAGCGTTAGCAGATGGTGAATCATGCTGGTGAGTCAAGCTGCCAGCGTTTTTCTGCCATGAGGGGAAGAACTTTACTTGCGAAATTTCTGTCTGTCATGTAACTGTTAGTCTTGCTTCTATGGAGCCCTGTATCAGTTCAGATGTGGAAAGGTTATTTGGGGCGGGGATCACAGTGTGGCAATTTGCATGGAGGAGAAACATGCAATGGAGTGAAGCATCCAGCAAACTTGGAATCAGTGTCCATGACAGGTGCCATTTCTCTTCCCAGCATGACCTAAAGGGAGGGCAAGAAACACCGCCCTCCACTGGTTGGTTACAGGACAACGACATGATGATAGGACACCTTCAGGGAGCCAATCAGGGTGAGGATAACACTTCCAGGCCTAATTCTATTGCATGCTGGGCATCAAAATGGCAGCTGCCAGATGTTGAAACACCAGGAAGTCCCTCAGCCAGGCCACGAATGCAGCACATGGCCACAGTGGAGAATGTGAGCTGAGGGGGGAGACTGCCTCCCAGAAAGCGTTCTGAAATGAGGTTCGGTTCTGCAATCCGACAGGTGTCGTGCTGGGGGTGCATGGCGCACGACTCAGCCTCGGTGGAGTAGCGGGATGCGAGCACTGGGTGGCAGTGCAGTAGCCCTTCTCAGGGCCATGTTCTCAAAACCAGCCTCTTCTTCCAGGTCGCACACAGACTGGGCTATCGAAGTTGCTTTTATTTAGCCATGTAAGGAAGTATGTTTTGGTTGGTTGGGAAGCAGGGCAACTTTCAGTCAGAGCTGACCTTACCAGATTAGTGGCTACAGAGTCCAGCCCTCAACAAAGCTGGTTTGCATCTCTGTATATTCCATGCTTTTCAATCACTCCCTCTGAAAGCAGAGTCCAGTTGCTGAGCCTCTAGCCAAAGGAGGGCCACCGAGTGCCAGAGGGAAGTATCAGCATACTCAGGAGAATCTCAAGCTTTGTGGAAGAACTAAAAACTCTCCACCTCGTTTCGTAACTTAAAGCGCCCTCCTTCCTTCCCATCCCACAAAACAGTCCAATGGGGACAGACCACATTCTGTGGCCTTGAAGATCCCTGGGATGTGGCATGGAAAAGCCAAACTGGGGCAGGGGCATGGGGTGGTCAGCTAGAACCCTGTGCTGCTTTCCTGGAGTAGGAAGTAGCTGGCTGGACCCCTGGGCAAAAGCATTCCCATCAGGACGTGAAATATGCCCTATGATGTTTTGTACCCTTCGTGCTTCCCATATGCAGGCATGTACATTATCAGAGAATGTCTGCCAGCAGATGCACATCTGAAAATGTACACCTCATCTTGTCTAGGGAGGGTGGTGGGAACAGGTAGTCGCACTTGCCTTACCTGGCAGGAATCAGCTCCACCTTGTTTCACGGTGGCACATAGCATGTGCCCCAGTTGGACAGTGGGATAGGCACTGGAGCATTCCTGGTCAGGCAGGGTGGTGATGTTTCCACAGTACAGGACATCAGGCATGTACTCTAATGGGGGGCGGAGTGAGAGAATGGTGAATGAAGAGGGGATTTTCAAGGACTACGCAGGTTTTTAAGGATGCTATGCGGATTCTCCATCTTCTTTGCCTGCTCTCCATCCACTGCTCCCTTGTTTCTTATGGTATCAAGGCTAGATTTGGAAGGGACACTTGGGTAAGTTGTGTTCAGTAGGACCACCTTCCTGAGTGGCTTTCTCCTTGCTGTGGTCACCTTTGTTTGACTTAGTGGCCACCCTACTGCCAGGGGTTTTCCTCCCACCCACTGGCTGGTGTGAACCAACCCAGCCTCCTTGATGAAACCTTATAATAATAATAGGAATGCAGAAACCTGTTTCATTCTTGACCAGAGTATTTGTCCAGTATCCATTACTCTGTGTGATTAACAGCTATTCTCAGGAGAAATTCCCATCACCTCCCATGTAATCATTTTGATAAGATGCACCATCTATAGTTGGCTATGAACCCTTCCCTTCCCTTCCCTTGGAAAAGCTGCCAAATGTTACACAGGATTCTGTTGCTGTATCTTTTAACACGCAGCGTCGCTTGCACCTTATGGCATGGCAACAGGGGTCAGCTGAAGAGTTAGCAGCCTAATTCAAGGGGCTTTCAAGCTTCCACAGTGCAACACATCCCTGCTCTTTTCCTTTTCTCACCATCATCCGTGCCTCCTTTTCCTTCCTGGGGTTCCATCAGCCCTACCTTTCTGCAGGATGGTGATGCCCCAGCCAGCAAGCACGCAGTAGCTGCCAGGGGGGACGCAGTTTCTTGGCAGGGCGAGTGGCCTGACGTTCTTGTTCATGCGCACTGGGGTGAGGAGTTTGACCAGCATGATGTCATTATCCTTGGTGTAACTGTTGTAAAAAGGGTGCCAGATGGCCTTGGTTGCAATCTTGAACTGTTCAGTCCATTCCACGTGCCACAGACTGTGTTCTCCGAGTCTTGCAAAGAGGAAACTGAAGCACAAGGGACAGAACATACGTAAGTGGCAAAGTCGGGACCAGCAGTGTCATGGTGAAGGCTGGAGTGTGGGGTTCTGCAATGGCCATCCTCGTAGCCATGCCCCGAGGAGGTCTGCATGTGTGCTCAGTGTGGCCCCCAGGAGATTCTCCAAAATGGAATTTGGCCTCAGACTGAAAGAGGTTCTACTCTCCAGTATATAACCTTCCTCATCCAGCCACAGATCTGTGCACTTAGCTAATCGCAAGATGATCAGCTGAATGCCTCGGGCTTAGGGCTGCCCTATGTCCCCCAGAAGCCAGTCCTCTGTTTGAGGGTCCACCACTGCAAGTCTGCTTCCAGGGGAAAGAGCCCTAAGAAGGGAGAGCAGAGCAGGGACCTGAAGTTGCCTATCCACTGTTTGCACCTGGGCAGCAGCCTGAGCAGGGCGCGTGGCTCACCTGGCCAATCCTTTCTCCACTCTGGCAAGGTGGATTCCATACCCATTTAAATGATAGCCAGATTTCTAAGTTGGTATCTCTATCTATATATTAGCATATGCATATTTTATGCAAATCTGTTTCTTAGTTTGTCCCCTTTTTTGGTGTCGTGTCAGTGACCTGGGGTGATCTCTGAGACCAGATCGTATCACTAGGACGGTCCCCCTCCATATCAAAGGGCCAAAGTGATAGGACTCATCTGTGCCCTAAGTCAGGAATGCTGAACCTCTTTCACAACTAGGGATCAAATCCACTTTCAGAGAAATTTTGAGGGAAGGCTGGCATATTCCACTGATCAAAGGCAATACTAAATGTTTTGGGCCAAAATGCCCAAAATGCTTGCTTATTTTGACTTCAACTCTTCTTGCCTGTAGCTAAGCTTTAGGTCTGTTGTTTTAGGATGGGAGAAAGCAAGCAAAATCCACAAAGCCCCAAATGTTTGGTGGTCAGAAGCAAATTGGGGTGGGGGGTCCAGGGAAAGGGACCACAGCTATATATCTACCCCCAGAGGGCTGGATTGCTGTGAAGGTTGCGGCTGCAATGCCAGGGTGCTGGTGTATCCATTCTGGGCTCCAGCCCAAACTTTAAGGAGGTCTCCATGGTGCTGAAATCGCAGTTCCCTTTGGTTCAGCGCCACAGACAGCTCCTGTCGTGTTGGGTCTGCTGGTCTTGGAGCCAGCAGCCCCCACTGCCAGATTGAATGAGTCAGAGGACTGGCTTTGGCATGCAGGTTCTGCACACCTGCCCGAAGTGGTACAGCCCCCGCACCTTGCAGGCGCACATACCGACTGGTGTAGCATTGGGCAGCAGTGACCAGCCACTGCGCGTGGATCAGAGTGCCTGCGCAGTGGAACTTCAGACCATCAAAGAGTGCTACCATCCAGGGTTGGGAGTGCTCAACGCACTGGAAACCCCTCAGCATCCTGGGTCCAGGTTGTGCAGCTGCTGTTGGGAGAAAGGATGGGTGTCAGCTATACAGCAAAGAGATGCTGCTTACCTATCTCTGTCACAGGGCATGGACATGCTTTCACCAAGCCAAAGGGTTGTCCATCATCAGGGCTGGTTTCTGGAGTTCAAGGGCCATGGGCTAGTTAGGAGGCTGAGCGTAGCTTTCTTCAACCTGATGCTCTCCAGATGTTTGGGCCCACAACTCCCAGCAGTCCTGACCATTAGCCCTACTGGCTGAGGAGGATAGGAGCTGACATCTAAAACATCTGGAGGGCACCAGGGTTGGGAAACACTGCCCCAGAATTCCTCCAGCCTTTGCCATTTATCCTGCTGGTTTTTACTTTTCCCCTCCCTGAACGTTCACAGAATGAGCGGACGCCTCGACATGTGTCGCACTCTCTCTGTATGCAGTGACCTCTTAAACATTGCCAAAAGAGAGAAAACACAAGACAGAAAGGGAAGGTATTGTTTGCTTAAAAAACACAATTTAAAGGTATAGACGCAACATGAGAAATACTGACTGACACTTAAATGGAAGTGTGATACATCCCAGCCCAATGAAAAGAAGGCAACCAGAACTTTTACGCACCTTCCTGCCTACCTGCTCAGACATTTTGTTGTGTTTTACAGCCTGGAAGAAATGGATTGAATCGGCATTGCTACCACTTAGTATTTGCAAAGTACTCATCACTGTGAAGATGAAAAAAATACATTGTGGTGCAGAAGTTAAGTAAACAAAAACAAACTGGCACTCTTTGGTTGCACACGTATTCCTCCCCTTGGCTGAGACATGTTTCAATAGCTTCTGGTGCAAGCCGCTGCCTTCAGGAGCCAGCGCAAGCAGCTGAATGAAGCCCCTCTATGTGTAAATGCAGTGCCACATGATCTTGGGTTAAATACATGTATTTCTGGGAGGCTCAGAGTTTGTTGGAGAGCATATCTAAAGGAACAGCCTGATGAAGCTCAGTTCTGGGATAAAGTTATGAAGAACCACCAATCCAGGTTGCCTGCTTTTAAAAAAAAAAAATCCCAAACAGCAGCCATCCTCCAGAGCACCTTCAGATTCATAGAATCATCGAATAGTAGAGTTGGAAGGGGCCATCCAGCCCCTGCTGTTGCAGGACACCATGGTACACCATCCCACTCAGATGGCTGTTCATTTGCAAGGGAAGTGATATAGCTCAACCATGACTCTGCCCAGAGAAGGCTGCCCGCCAAAACTCAGTGACCAGGTAAGGAGGGCATTAGTCAGAGAAGCAACCAGGGGGTCAATGTTAACTCTGAAGGAGCTGGAGAGATCCACAGCTGAGATCGGAGGAACTGTCCATGAAACACTGATCACTCGGATGTGCCACAAAGCCGAGCTCTTCTGGAAGAGTAGCAAGAAGAATGGTGGTGGAGGCAGCAGGTTGTGAGGATGATTTTCCCCAGCAGGAACTGGCCAGGTTTGGAGGGAAGATGGTTAGATCCACAGAGAGGGCAATTCTAGTGAAAAGTCTGTTTTGGCCTACAAGGGACTTGAGGCTGAGGTGAAGGTTCAACTTCCAGCAGGACAATGGCCCTAAACACACACCCAGAGTAACACCGGAGTCATTTAGCAACAAGAACTTGATCTGTGGCAAGACCAGAAGGCTGCTGTTCACCAATGGTCCCCATACAAGCTACAGACCTAGAACAGTTTTGGCAGGAAGAATGAGCAAGGAGAAGCCAGATGTGTGAAGCTGATATGGACTTACCCCAGAAGCAAAAATTTTGCCAAAGGTGCTGTGAACAAGAACAGATTCAGACTGTTTCTGTGCATGTGTGCATGCAACCAAAAACTGCTAGTGTATTTTTGTTAACTTTGTTGCCACAATGAAAATATTTTCACCTTCACAGTGTTGAGTATCTTGCAGACATCAAATAGCGACAATGCGATTCCAGAGTTAGCAAAGTGCATTTGAACAAAACAAAATGCAGAAAAACCTCAAAGGGCCATGTGAATATTTCTGCAAGGCAGCACAGCTGTTCGAGCCAGTCTTATTCTCCAGCCCTAACCCTCTAGTACCACCTCCATGTGATCTCACCTGCACAGATCAGAAGCACAGCCCTCGCTAGAAGCTTCATGCCCGCCATGGGAGCAGTTGGTAATGGCAGGTTGCAGGGCCAACGGGCTCTGGAATTTCGGAGGAATTGAAAGGAAAATGGTCATTAGCAACCTGGCCTTGAGACTTCACAACTTCCATCGTGGACTGCAGGAATGGGTTTCCAGACGTTGCCACGGGGGCTTCCCCATTTCAAGCGAGATATGTTCCTCCAAACTTCCCAAATGTAAGGTGGACAGTTCAGGGCATACAGTGTTGCCTAGTGATTAGAGTGTTGGACCAGGACTTGGGAGATTCAGGTCCTGATCCCCACTCAGCCATGGCACTCACTGAGTAACTCTGCGCCAGTGACTTGACACCCTGTTTAACCTACCTCACAGGGCGGTTGTGAGAATATAATCAAATAAGAGGGACCACGTAGGAGGGTCTTGGGTTCCTTGCAAGAGGGGGAGAAGGTTGAATATAAGGTGTGACAATAAATAAAAATAAATGAGTTCCAATAATGCCTTTAGCTAAAGCTGAAGAGAGACGAGAGCTCTCAAAACCCTGAAACCTTTTTCAATCCTAGCTGGGAATAAGTCCCACTGAACTGACCAGGATCTGGACCGTCTTGCATGGGATTGTGCCACACAGGAGAGGGGTTTGCTTCCCATGACTGACCCACATTTCTGTAGCTGCGGTCAGTTGGGCAGGGCTAGCTCCAGGTCCGAGGAAGTCCTTGACAAAGCACCCTTGGCTCCCCACCCGCTCCACTGGCAGACTTCTGGGTGACAGCTTGCTTGGCTTGATGGACAGCCCTCCAGGGCATTGGGGGAAATTATTGCACAATGCCCTGGAACAACATTATGTTGGCGGAAGTTCAAAATGGCAGCTTCAGAGCAAAAGGCTGGAGGGAGAAGCAACGTCAGCAGGCACAGTTTGGGTGCTGAAACCCAGGCCTGGGGGTGCTGGATGCTGGTCTGGGCTGAAAAGAGATTTTTAAAATGACACCAATGCTTGCAAACTCTGACAGTAGGATGGGTAAACCCACTGGGAGCAGGAATCTTGATTTTACCCTGCTCTCCATGCTCTGAGGGGGGTGCTTCTAACGTCTAACAACATCACATGGAGTCCTGATGTGGTCATCTTGCACCGATAACTCTCGCGTGTTTCCCCAGCACCTCTTACCACGGAAATTCCCTTAGGCCCCTAAAGCCTGAGGCAGCCTCATGGTTCGATTGGTGGAGCATCATGCGGCATGGGATTTCATCCCCCCAGTCCCCGCTTCTGGGTTGCGGCATGCAGTGCGGCCTGCACACTCAGGTGCGCACACATGTGCCCGTGCTCCAATGGCAGAATTGAGGCTGACTCCACCACATCATGGATCTGCTCTCAGCTTTGAAAATTCAGCTCCCAGCATTCCACCTTCTGCTCCATCCCCTAGCGCAGCCAAGTTCTCTTTGGATGCGCTAGCTACAACTTCCACCATCCCCAGCCAACATGCTGAGGGCAATGGGAATTGTAGTCCATCATTTTTGCAAGTCACTAGATCGGGAAAAGGCTGCTGTAACCAATGGCACATACACAAATAAAAGAGATACTAGGGCACCTTGTGGACTAGCAGCTGCACCGTCATGTGAGCTTCCGTGAATAATTTTGTTGGTCTGCAAAGGCACCCTTTGCCTCGCTTTTGTCTTCTCTCCTGAACGGATCCCATCCTATATCAGGATAGAGAAAATGGGCTCTGCAGATGGTATTGGACTACAGCACCTATCACCGTCAGGGAGCTAGGGCTGATGGAAGCTGCAGTCCTACAACATCTGGAGTGCCACATGTTCCCCATCCTGCTGTACATACACATTCACAATCCTATGCATAATGCAATTCAACTGATCTTTGGCACATACAAATATCATAACACCCAACACCACTAGCCTGAAAGAAGTAAACCCGTCAGTCACCTGAAGTCCTGCTTTGGAATTCCGCTTCCAAGGAGGCCTTTCTGAGCACACAAACATCCACACAGTGCCAGGGATGGAGTCAAGGGATTGTGCTGGTCTCGAACGCTAAAGAGGAAACCATTCGGGAAAGAGTTGCTCCTCCTTCAACAGATAAATAGCATTAGGATAAAGAGCACGAATCCGCCCCGTGTCTAATGGCCATTGCATTGTTCAAAGGCCAACCCATCTCTCTCATGGATAAATACAGACTCCTCGGATTTTAACTAGCTGCCAATCACCCATCGCGAAAGCCCGAAACTTCTGGAAGCTCCAGGAGTTGCCACCTCCTCCCCAGCTGTGAAATGCCTTGGCAATGTCACACTAGGCCGGTGACTCATTTTTATTTGGGGTGTCACTGCGGCTTGGGCCACGCTCACAAAATGAGGTTAAGGTCACGAATCTCATGCCACAGACATGCCCTGAGTGCAGACACTCAATGTATGGCCTCCCATCCCTCACTTAAAGACTAATGAATGATTGGCATCAGGGTGAAACGAGGGCCTACGGACCTAGAGGCAACTGATGCCCTTCCGTGCATGTTGCAGTGAAAAGCGGCACCTCTTGATCCGGGCAGCTCACACCAAAGCAGAATTGAAGCAGGCAATCTATCTTCCGGGCAGCTGCTCATTTTGCCCGTTGCATTTCTGTGGAATGGGCCTCAAAAGGATGGACACATTGGAGACGGAAAATGGGCGTTACACCTCAACCATCAGTAATGTCCAGCCCAGGGCTGGATGTGTGCGTCTCTGAGAGCAGGTGTAGCTGCAAATCTGAGGAGACCTGGCAAACTGCCCTCTTCCAGCCTCCCTCCTACGTGGCTGGGCCTTGGAAGGGATCGGCAGTGCTCAGCCCCAGCCCCAGCACCAGACCCCTGTCCATTTTAGCAGTGCCCTGTAACAAGGCTATGCAGGAGGAATTGAGTGATAAAAGGATCATTCCCAGAGCTGGTCATTTATTGTGAGGCCTACAGGTCTCACTTCTCTGGATGCCCCCTTATTTTTTAAATAAAAATCCTAAGGGTTTTTTTTAATTAATTACTTAGTTTCTTGTGCAAGTTACTTTTTTTTAGTCTTGCCCTGGAAAAGGAGACTTTGGCAATCAGACACTTTATGGGCAGCCATTCCCAGACACACCTGCTAGCCAGCCATTGTGTCAGGCACACTCTCAGCTTTGTCTCAGAACTCCAATAGGCTCCACTGACGCCCCCCACCCCGCAAATGGGGACTATTGCATGCTTTTAAAGGGATGTCCCGGGCAGGGGTCCGGGGGCAGTCCTTTAAAGCACCCAGGGAGCTTTGGCTGTTCAGTACTAAGTGGAATTATCATTAACAATTATTATTAAGTGTACTTGTTCATGTTTCCATTGTAACTGTCACTCCCTTTCTTTTCTAGCAAAAAAGGGGGTAGTTGATCCCCCCCCCCCATGATCCCATGCATAAACTTTGCTATCCAGCAAGTTCTGACATGGAATGGGGCTGCAGGCTGTTGTTATTGTATACTGAAGTGATCTGGTACTGCGCCAAGGGAGAAAAGCTACCTGTTACAAGCCTTGCTGAAACTAACTACTGTCATCCCTACTTCTGTGGGAGGACAAGACATTTTGCCCTTGCAGATGGAGATGAAACACGAGAGAGGGGGAAGTCTGTTTTCAAGCCCTGAAAGGCTTGGGAACAAGCTCCCTGAAAGACAGCCTTTTCACCGCTGTCCCTACCCGAACCTGAAGCTTTTCTCCAAAAATCCTGCTCTGGGTGCCCTTGCCAAAAAGAGTGAGGCTGGAGATCGCTAGGATAAGGGTTGGGAAGCTCTGGCTGGAGTGGGTGGGGGGTGGGGGTAAACTCCAGCCTTCCAGGGCTTCCCAGGTGCAGCATCCCTTTTCCCTGGCCCTAACCTCTTTCCTCCAGTCACTGCCAGTGGATGGTTTCTCCGCTGTTGTGCAGTCTCCTCCTCCTTTGAAAAGGCTTTCTTGCTGGCAGTAGACATTTTAAGCAGCAGTGTGCCCCCATTGCCCTGTTGCCTCTGGAAGGGCTCCCCCTGGAGCGTCTCCGAGACTTAGTCTGACCCTCGTGACGGAAGAGGCTCAGCAACACCCTGCCCAGGAATGCACTGTCCGGGTTGCCCCGTGCCTTTCGTTCTGCCATCTGCTCATCGACGGCATTGGATTGTTTTAGCTGGGCTTTGTTCTACTCACACGCATGCAAATTTTGCCCAGTTGTGCAAAAACAGCCTACAATCCTTGGAATCCGTGAGACTCAGAAAAGGCAGGCTGCTGCAGAGTCCACAGGTCAGGTTCACAGAAATCCAAATCGATTTGAATCTGTTGTGGCTTCCTTATATTGCCAAACTGGTTTATATGTACTAATAACTAAAGAGGCATACCAAGTATCTGCACTGCACAAAAGTTTAAACCAGAACAAACTGGGTGGTCTTTAAGGTACAACAAGGCTCTTTATTATCTTTATTTTATTTTTAGAAATTTAGGGACAAACTGAAACATAAGCAAGTTTTGTTTTCTCATCAGTCCTTACTTTACTACCTTGACTACATACAATGTATTTTGTGCAACTTAGGACATATAAATGAATTATTTGCTAAATGTATCAAGTTTAAGAAGAAATGTCATTGTTTCCTTCAAAGGATAATTGGACTATATTGAAGATTAGAAAAGGAACTGCGTGTTGCTGCACACTGGGGTAATGTGTCCATCAGAAGGGAAAACAGAAACTAGTATATCAACATTTCTAGCAAACAAAACAGGTATTCTCATTTGGGATAAGAAACTGTCTCCTCAGTACATAATCATTTTCCAGAAATGGATGAAACTTTTAAAAAGAAATCTGCAACACCTAGAACATGGCCAGTCCAAGTCATCAGCAGCCCAAGATTTCTTTTTAAAAGAAAGGGCAAAATGGCACCTCCTCCAATTTCTTGTAGAAAACCCTGAGTGGATAAACCCTGGAGGAACATGTTACATATATACATGTAGTGATGCACCCCTGTAAGGAGTCCTGGGAATTGCAGATCTGTGATGGAAGAGCGGATCTCAAACCTTCCAAATGAAGGCTTCTTACCAAACACGGGAGCATTCTTCCCATTCTCAAAGAAAGATATTCCTTTGCAGTGGTTTCAGAGGCCAACAGAAGGCATGGTGAATAAAAACCCCTTTATTATTTCACATTTTAACATAGCATCGGGGAAGGGCCAAAAGCAGCACAAAAGAGACAGACCATCTTGGAGAGTCTAGTAAACAACAAGCAAGTGCTCCTCCCCAGAGAGTTCTTCCTGGATTGCGGCAAGATTATCAGTTTCTGCTTATAGTGTCTCGGATCCATTCCACATATCTGCAGACGTTAACATAGACTCCTGGCCTATAGGGTTGTGCACATATCTGGGGCCCCCAGGATACGATCCCCTGCAGCTCCCCGTTGCAGACAAGGGGGCCACCCGAATCGCCCTGCAGGGAAAACAAAACAGAACAGAACCATTTCTACATATCCACTTCTGACCTGAGGGCTGAGCTTTGAGGTAAATTGAGCTGAGAGAGAGAGAGCAAGGAGGGGAGAGAGACAGAGAGAGATATCTTCCAGGGCCATAAGCAGGACAGGCGCCAAGGGTTGGCATGGGTGGGCACCTGCCAAGGCCCTACATAACATCAGGGCGTCGGGGAAAAAAGTTCTCCGGAGCTGTTCCTATTCCTCACCACTGCAACCTACCTGTTCATTTGCCCCTTGCTCTGAGCCAAACAATGGAACTGGTAAGAAGAGGGAGCCACGGATGCCTCAGCTTTCCTGGATCGCTGCCTCCAGGCCTCTCAAGTAAGCTGGCAAGTGGAAGCAGCGATGCAAAAGAAGATGAGGGGCAAGAACAGCTGGTGAAATGGAGGGGAAAAGGAAGGGGGTCCATGGACCTGGAAGGAAGCTTGAGCATGCACCAGTCAGCAGAGACACATGCAGCTTTGAGGCGGACTGAGGAAGATAGAGGGCTGGGTTTGAGCTTTGTAAGCATTTTGGGACCAGTGGCCACCCAGCTAGGAATGATGGGTATTTGAAGCCAATATATCTGGAGGGCACCAGTTTGGGGAAAGTTGTCCTAAAAGACCTGATGGGGGAACAGTGGGCTGCAGGTGCCTGTTGGCGCAGTTAAGCTGTCTATATGTGCTGATATTCTTAAAGAAGCAAAAATATCATAAAATACCAAAGTGTCTCTAGATACTCCTCCTAAAGGGAATAAACCAAGGTAATTGCCCATGGAACTTCTTGAAGCTTGCGGAAGTGTGGTTGGCAGCAAGCACAACATGATTTTCAAGAATTAGTCATGAATCCCCAAATGCATGTTTGAGATAACATCTGGTCATGAGTGTGGAAAGGTTGAAGATGAGAGAACCAGAAGATTCCAAATACCATTTTTTTTCCTGCTAGCATTCACCAATTTTGCTCACCTGGCAAGCATCTGTGCCTCCTTCCGTCCTGCCAGCACAGACCATGTTCTCGTTGACGTACGTGGGGTAGATGGCTTGGCAAACATTGTGACTGACGATGGTGACGTTTGCACAATGCAAAACATCTGGAAATGTTGCTGGAAAGAAAAGCACACGGTTCAGAGAAGGTGTCTAAGAACAGAAAATGAGGACAATGGATGGAAGGGCATTTTCCATCCAGTGCATAATTAACTTGATTGATGTAGACACCTGGTGTAATCCTTCAAATGTCTACACTGAAGTAAGTCCTTTTGGGTCCAGTAGAGCTTACTCTCAGGTAAGTTTGCATAGGATTGTAGCCACATACAGTTATGAATGGTGTTCAGAGACAGGGTAGAAAGAGAATATTTTTCTCACTTGCCCTTGTGATATTAGAAACATATAATATTAAAAACATGTAATTTTTATTTTACATATAAAGGAATGTGTATTTTTGTCTGCACAGTTAAGAGATATGGGATGTGAATACCCTTGGTTTTAGAGTGGGAGAATACTTTGGATTCCCAGATCTGAAGCTCCAAACTCGGAGCTGGGAAGGAGTGTTCTGATCCCATGGCCCCAAAACCCTCTCAGAGGGGGTGTGGAAAAGACGTGTCCCAGTTACCTCAATCTCAGAGAAAGATTAAAGGAGGAATTTGGAGGGGAGACTGCAGGGGTCTGTGTATGAGGTTTCTGATGTCTTCTGCAGCTTCTTTCCCTCCCCTTTGATATGTACCAGCTTGATGGTGGAAGGTGGCCTTCTAGCAGCAGAAGTGCAGAGCAAAAGGAGAAAACTCCCCTCTGCTGTTCTGTACAAGATGTTTGGAAACCTCCAAGATCAGAGGCTTAGAGCACCCTGATCATATTGTGCCCTAAATATAATTAGTGATCATGAAAGGAAAACCCCCCAAAAGCCAGTGGATTCAACCTACATTTTTATCTGTAAAGTTCAGAGGTGGGGGAATGTGTTAGACCTGGTCAATAATTAGAGTAATGCAGTGTATTTTTCCTTTATGTTTGTCTTGCATTTGGGAAATGAATATGAATTAGAAAGAAAAAAAACCTTTGCATATTAGAGAGAAAGAAAAAAACCTTTGCAAATTAGAGAGAAAGAAAAGAACCTTTACAAATTAGAGAGAAAGAAAAGAACCTTTACAAATTAGAGAGAAAGAAAAGAACCTTTACAAATTTGAGAGAAAGAAAAGAACCTTTACAAATTTGAGAGAAAGAAAAGCCATGTTAAGAACACACTCTGAAGGAAATGTACCTGGCCCAACATACCTTGGGGGCTTGTTGTTGTACCCCAGCCTGAAACGAGGCACTTGGTCCCAGGCACAGGGCATCTGGTAGGCAGACTGAGGGGCTGGACGTTTTTGGTCAGGCAGGCTGGAATCAGCAGCTTGATGAGCATGATGTCATTGTTCTTGGTTCGCGGGTTATAGCCAGGGTGCACAATGACTTTTGTTGCCAGTTTTATTTGTTCAGTCCAGTCGATTTTGCTGAGGCTGTGCTCCCCAAGGCGGACAAAGAAGGGTCTGGGAAGGAACAAACATTGGTGCAATATGGAGCTGTGTCCCACAGCCTGATGCCCAGATATTTGGCAGGCATTTCTTTCCCAATAGAAAGAGCTATTCATTTAATGTTGTTACGATTTAATTTACAAAGAAGGCAAAAGTGTTAAATTCTATGCTTACTAAAAGAACATGAGCAGCCCCATGTTTTAAAGTTGGCAACTGGTAATATAGTGAAAAGAGATGCATGTAGTTCTGTTTTTTGTTATTAATAAAAATAAAATAAAATCACTGAGATAAATAAAAAGGGGGAAAGTCCATGATGCAGTAATGTCTTCCTAGTCCTTAAAGTTCATACTCATTACAACTTTCAAAAACACAAAACTGTAACAAAGACAGCTATTGAAAACTCCACAAAATATCTAACACGGTCCACCACTTTCAAGGCCATTTTCATGACATGGACAGTCCAACCATACGTCTGATTCAGCATCCTCTTGCAGCTAAAACAAAATGTGCAATTACATTTCCAAGCTTGTTGTGCAGTGGTATTATGTACTATGTAATATGTGTTTTGTGATTGGTTATTTTATGAAAGGGGAACACCCCTGCAATGGCCAAATTGTGAGAACACTCACAACACACCAGAATTGAGTTAAAACAGGTTGAGGATTCCTGTTTTATGTGGCTACAACAATTACAAGAAACGAACGGGTGTGCACTCTTAGGAACATTCAAATGCACTACACAAAAGCTATGGATTAACTGTTCTGGAACTAATTGCCAGACACCACCATGCAGAATGAAAAGTGGAAGTAGCGAATATCCATGCAGGGTTCACATATTATGAGGGCAGGTGCAATTTTGATACTGACTAATTCTTAGTCTGGGGTTCCATTTATGCAGGTCTGCATATGGATCCCCTCATACCCAGACATCATAGAATTTGTCTTCCAGAAAACCCAATTCAACCTCTGGCTCAATGAAGCAAATCAAGAGCTAAAGCACCAGTGACAGTGACTGGCTTGCCCCATCGAGGAAGAGGTCATCACCCTCTAAATAATCACTTCCTTTGTCAAACAGCTCTTACCATGAAGATGTTTCTGTTAACATTCATCTAAAACCTGCCCTCCCAGAACTTGCATCATCAGGTCCAATCCTGTCTTCTGTGGCAGCAGAGAACATGCATTTGTCCTTTGCTGGGCAGCACTCCTTCAGAGAGTTGAAGGGGAACATCTCATCCTTCTTGAGTCTTCTCATGTCTGGGTTACACATGCCTGGTTCTTTCAGCCTTCCCACGTAATGGGATTTGTTTTCCACATCACTGACCATCTTCATGGCCCTCCACTGAAGCCATTCTAGTGTGTCTAAAGCCTTCTTAATGTGCCCTGCCCAGAAACTGATGCAAAGAGGAAGCTGCAATTGGTCCATGGCACTAGTCTTTCTAGCACAATATTGTCAGCACTGAATGGCAACAACCATCAAGGCTCTCAGGCAAGATTCCTTCTTTGACTTGCCTGGAGAAGCCGGCAATTCAACTGGGATTTGCATGTAAGCATGTGTTCTACCCTTGAGCCATGGGCCCATCCCATCACAAATGAGTAAATAAACATACACACATGCCGCCTAGTTTCTGCTTACATGCACTTACGTTCTTTTTCTACAGTGGGCAGCACTGAGCACCCAGGAACGGTTGATCAAAGTCCCTCCACAGTTCAGCCTGAAGCCAGTAAAAAGTGCAGCCTGCCATGGCTGAGAATTGCGTGGACAAGGTTTTCCACCAATTATCCGTTCTTCTGCTGCGGTGGCTGGAAGAACAGAAGCCAGAAGTTAGCACTGTTCAGAGGAACTATCAGCTGCCAGATCAAGGAATACACTGGTGTGTGATGATGCTACAGTTTTGTGTGGAATGGACGCAGGGATGCTTACGCCCAAGGGCAACTGCACAAGCATTTTCAAAGCAAGAATAAGCATTGTCCAGGAGCAGACTAAGGCACGCCTGTTTTAGCCAGAGCAGCCTGGGAAGCACTCTCATCCCTTAGTTCCAGGTCCATACTGCCCAAGGTGGTAAAAATACAATAACAAGACATTAAACAGCTAATAACTTGCTCCCCATTTTATGGAAAGGTTGTGCACTAGTTCCTGGGGAACATGGACGGCGGTGCTGTAGCACTTGCATCCTGCTTGAGGGAAGGCGGTTGGTTGGCCACTGCGTCCTCAGAATGCTGGACTAGCTGCTCAGATTGAGCAAGCTTTTCTTTAGTTCTTATAACTTGACTCAGCAGAGAGACCTTTTGAAAATTCTACCTCAGCAAGCAAAGTGGCTCTGGAGCCATCCTCCCCCGCCCCAAAGGAACGCTCAAGCCCTCCCCTCCCCCCTGGCCATGCTGTTCTTGTGCTTACCTGAAGATGACAGGAACAGAATGGCAGCCAGCAATTGCAGGAGAGCAGACGGCATGGTGGTGGGCAGTAATTCTTCCCAGGAATAAGATTTCCTCTGAGAAATGAGAGATAGGCCAATCATTCCTCGGACCTAAGTGTCCCAGAAGCAAGGATGAAAGAGTGGGGGAAAGGAGGCGTGTCATGCATTCCTCTTGCCACCCCCAAATAACCAACGAATCAGTTCAATGAGAGCCATCCTGCCCACTACAGAGAAGGTGGTAACAGACCGTGGCAGCGAGTGCTCAGCTTTCAGATTGCAGAAGGTGGTCCTGCTGTCAAGTGATTCAGTACAACAGGGGTGAGTCCACTTATGGTCCTCTAGATGTTTTGGCCTACATCTCCCATCAACCCTAGCCAGCATATCCAGTGGAGAGGGAGGATGAGAGTTGTAGGTTGAAACACTGAAGGGCTACAAGCTGTCCTCCATGCTAGACATAAAAATCTGTGTACATACTAAACTAGCACATTGCAAAGAAGGGCCCTGTGGAGTCTCCTCGCCTCCAGATACCTGCATTACTGTGAGCAAAAATATTTTGGGGAGGACAGTGCATTTGAAGAGGGAATCCATGTGCAACACACACCTACACTCAAGCATGATACCATTCAGTACTTCGTCACCTTATTCTACATAGTGCAGAAAGATCAAGTTCCTAATTAACTTGAAGAGGTCAAAGAGAAAATAATGCTAAATGCTCTTTCTCAGCTTTAACCTGCAACTGAAACAGAAATTGTGCCCACTGTTCTGTGAGTGGGCAGGCCAGAATCTACATTTCCTAAATCGATGCTTGCAGAAGTGGGGAAAATCCCTCAGAGCAAACAAAAAGCACTTCAGGTTGAATCCACCTGTGCCCTTCTTATCATCCAACATGAACAACTTTTACACAGCAGTCACACAAAAAGCCACTGGAGTTATTGGTCCAGCAGCAAGGAGTTCCCAGCCTTTCGCGAAGCACAAACAGAAACCTGTCTCTGGCTGAGTCACCTGCAGGCAGCTACTGGCTGAGCAGTTCTGTGTGGAGACCCTCCTTGACTGCAGGCAGCAATTTCTGGCCTGCCCAGATCTGTTCAGATTCACAACCCAAAGCAGCAGATATTCCAGATAAGGCAGGCTGTCAGCTGTCAAAGCCGAAATTTCTCATCGACCATCTCCTTCTGCCTCTTGAGAAGATCACAAGGGGGCTGCTAGAGAAAATGCCCCCACTCTTCTCCCCAAGAAATAGTGCACCTTCCACAACAGCTTCGACAAAGACATTGAAAGCCATCAGCAAGAAAGCAAGAGAAGTACTGGGATTTCTTACCCCCAAGCCTGCTGGAATCATGCACACGGCCTCCCCGTCCCCTCCTGCCTTTTATTTTGGGTTCTGCCCTGGATTAGCTAAGCCTTGGTTTGTCAGGAGGAGTTTGTTAACACCCCCGCCTTAAGTGACTAGGACCAAATCCATTGTTCAGCTTATTCAAACTTCCTGGTGATATAACAAGTGATTGTCAGAGCAGGAGGAAGGTGTCACCCCAGAGCTGCCATGTTGAGGGCCAAGTCAGACGGCCTCTCCGCTCATCCCTCCTTCTGCTTTGCATAAGGGCTCTGAATCACTTCTGCTCTTAGCACTGTCCGCAGCTTGACTTGCTGCAAATTCCAGTGCGGCTGGAAAGCAGAGCTGGCTCCCCCATGATGAGGCAAGGCAGGCCTCAGGTAGCATATTCTGAATGCAATGATGTATCTTTGCACATATGCATGAGATGCTCTATGCCCTACTTTACAGAGGAGGGATCTCTAGCTGAAGGCCTTCCCTGCCCAAGTCTGACTGGAAGGAAAGGAACCAAACGAAGGCCATGCATAGGCGCTGAGAGTGCTTCTCAACCCAAGGAGCACCTGGGCAGTAGACGGAAGCCTTGCCCACCAGGGTGGGCATCACGGGGAGGCACGGCCAGGCGCTTGGTGAGGCCCACCACCAGCAAGGGCCCTGCGGACTCCTTCACCAGCTCTTGCTTCGCTGGATTTAAAACAGGAACCACCCATTCCAACCAGTGGCACCATTGACAGCACCAGACACTCTAACCTAGTGATAGGCAGTAAATGGTCCATGGGCTGCATGTGACCCCCACCACCCCAGGGGACCCCCCCCCCAGTCTTCCACCCAGCATTCATATTGGCAGCAAATAAATAAATTCACGCCGAATTGCCTCTCCACATTGGCAGTACATCGCTGCAGAGAACTAGAACAACCAAGCTGAAGGGGGGGGGGGGGCTTGCCACTGCCCAATTATGCAGAGCCCCAGCAGCATCATGGTGTGAGGGGGGGAGGGGGGCAAAAATGCCAGACACCCTGAATCTGCCACTCCCGCTTGCGACCCTGCACCAGACCTGCTGCTTTATCCTTGCTTTCCTCTTTCCCTGCTTTCCTCCTGCAGAATGATAGCACACAGGGCCCCTGACTCCCAAATCCTGCAGAGAGGACAGCCCACCTATTCAGAGAGGACAGCTCACCCATTCGGGGCCTGGGGTGGTGGGGCAGAGGGAACCACGCTGTTGGCATGTGTTGCGGCCGGCAGGAATCCCTTGGGTATGCAGTTAGCTTCTGAGAGCTTTCAGAAATGATCTGAGGAGGTCTTCAAAACTGCCCCTTGCCATTTGTCCTGAGGGATGTCCTCTCCATCAAGGGGAGCATGTCATTTCCACAATTGTTGGAGGAATGAGTTGGTTCCTTACAGAAAGATAAGCTCTGACACACTGACTATAAAAACTCCTCTGGAATCTAGTAAAGTTGATGCTCAGAAAGTCAGAGATGAATGGACTGAGGAACTTGAAAGCGCTATTCAATTTAATCAATAGCAAAATTCAGCATGCCAGTGCTGTGAATGTGAAACTGAGGCAACACAAGCTGATACTTCGTATATATGAGATACCACAGAGGTCTGTTAAAAGGAAGCAAGCTATATAACCTGGGCAATGCCATATTGAGGCATGGTTTCTTTTTGGTTGCAAATCATTGCTCATATAAATTATGCCCTTGACAATTATGTTGTAATCCCACGCACTTTTAAACTACGTCCCTGTGGTGCGGGAGTTAATAGAGGAATGGCAAAGTGGGTGCTAAGAGCCCTTACAGCTGCTCGTTCTGAGGGGCGGCTGGCTGGGCTTTGAAAGAATCGGAATCCAAATGCGAAGCAGAGCTAGGGATTCTCTGGGAATGCAGGGCAAGCCGAGAGTCTGAGATGGGAGTGGGCAGCCAGCTGGCAGGGGAGTTTCCCAGACAGACAAGGGAGCCTGGGCTCTTCACCCCACGTCATGACTTCAGCAGAGGGGGAGGTACAGTTAGAGGGCCAGCGCCTTTCAGAAGGCCCCTCACAAAGGAGTGAGACCCTGGCACACTCATAAGGTGAGTTGCTGGAGATGAAAACTAGATTGGGTTCAACGAACTGCCCTGTGCATGCTCCGAGATTCATCCTGGGTGTTTTGTGCTTTTTGGTCAATGAACAACAGTTTGCAAGGAAAATCTGTGACTTTTGAAAGTGTGAAGGAGGAGTCCCAGCTCACGGCACTTAGGGTGAAATCCTATGCATATTTTAGACAGAAAAGAGTCCCACGTCTTCTGGTTGGAGGACATTTTTCTGTCTAAATATGTGTGGAATTGTGCCTTAAACATCAAGCTGAACACTGTCCTCTGTCACTCATACTGCTTTGGCTATGTTTGAGCATTATCTCCTATAATGGGTAAAGTCATATGCATGGTTAATACAGACATACAGGGTGGCGTGCATGAAATGCTAATATTTCCCCTTTACTGCCTGGTATTTTCTCTCCCCCTTTACTTTTGCTTTTAAGTAATAACTAGTCTATATTGCATGTTTCAATATAGGCACCCCTTTTTTTTGCTTTGGGGGGTTGTAAGCATTGCACTATCAATAATTTTTTTAAAAAAAATCTCACTGTTTTATTCTGAAAATAACATTTTGATCCCAAACATCTAGCAATTATATACTTGATTGATCCTTGTCATTTCATGGGATCATAACAGTCCATTGATGTAAGATCAGGACCAAGTCTCCATGTAGGTATGAGCAGATAAGGTGATATAGCCCAGAGCACAACTGGTAAGTGCTGGTATATAACCTCCAGCTGGCACTGTATTGTCGTGGACTAGCGCAAATATACAATAGGAAAACACCTTTTCTCCCACTCCTAGAAATAATAGTGGGTTCTGGCAGCGTTCAGGCACTGGGTATTCTGGGGGCCTGCGCAGCAACTCCAGAATGTTCCTTACACCCTAATATTCAGGGGGTTGGGGAAAAAAGGAAACCATAAACTGGGTGCTTGAATGAATCAGCCTCTAGTTACCTTCACTTAATAACCTAGACAACAGAAAGCCACAGTGGGGCAACGGGTTATGATTCAACAGGGGAAGTGCACAACTGTGCCTTAAGCAATGAAAAGCTTAGTAATTTATTACCAGCAGTGACCCATCAGCACTTTGGGATTCTCTGTTACTTCACTGCAATTACAAATTTTTCAATTAAAGGATGAAGACGGCAGGAAATACATAAATTGTCCAAAGTAGTAGACTGGGGATGCAGGCAGGGTCCTGCAGCTTTCAGAGATATAGAATTGCAAAAATATGAGATCGTTATGAGTGTAATTATGAACACGGGGGGGGGAGGGTATGCTCTAAGGTGTCCTTGGCTGCACCTGTGTTATTTTTAGGTTAGACAGATGGATTGATCACAACTGAGCATGAACAGATGACTGTGAATGTGCTGGTTTTACTTCATAATCTAACAGCAAAATGTACGTGTGTGTTGCGGGGAAGGAATCCAAGGAATAGAATAAGAAAATAAGAAAATTATATCTGGTGCAAAGCATTAATGCATAAGATCTCGTATGATCAAATTATGGGAGGCTTAAGTTACAGGAGAACAAATCTGTTCTGTTTTGGAGACAACAGAATAATTATTGGAATATAGAGAAAGGTCTTAGAAATTGTTTAACAGTTATTGCTTACACTACAAGTTTAGCAAAAA